TCTTTCCAATAGCCGTCGGAGGAGCCAATTGTGTGACAAAAGCCTAGAAAGTCCTTTGTGAGTTTTCGTTAAGGATATTTGCACCATATTAGCAAAGGAAAAGAGGGGATTGAGAAGTTAAGAAGAAAAGTGATACAGATTAGCGGTTTTGGAGAAGGATTGGTTGCCGAGAAAGAAGTTTAAGATATGTTTTAGCAAATCATTAATATTTTTAATTAAATTACTTTATTAGCCATAATATCATTAAATCTGAATTTAATTGTAGATTCTAGATTGTTTAACGTAGAGTCGGGCTCGAGGCGAGATTATGAACTTTCACTGTAAAGTGATCTTGTAAATTTCAGGTAAATTAATCAAAAGTTAAGAAGATTAATTTGATTAATTGCAATTACTTGAGTTTAAAATTTTAAATATTATGTTTTATATGTTATTGAGCTCAAAAGAAAAGTTGTTATAACCTTCAGCTATTTACCAAAGATTAAGGGTTTAGTGTAACAACTGAGGTGAGTAATTGTATTTCTAAATTTTAGTAATATTCTTTTTTTTAGATTGTATGCTTGATTTTATAGATGCCCTAGTTTAATCGGATCTTTCATATTGATAAGACAGAAATGTATGAAAAGCATAATAGGAAAAGATGTGCATGCACGAAAGATATGCATAAAATTGATGATATTTAGATAGACATTCAATGTAAGATAGGCATGTTGGAAAGATATGCACGATATAAGTAAGAGATATGCATGATATAGATATATGAATACTATGAAAAATATGTCTTTGACAAATACTTGTATAGCAAAACAACTATGTATATCAGCAGATGGATAAAGATGCATCAGAATAATATATGTATGAAGAATGAAATAACATATATGTGAATAGTTACGTGTGCATGTTCAGATGAGGATTTCTCCCCCTAATATTACAGAAGAAACGTCAGTGTACCTGCGCGCGTAGAGTTTTTCTAACACCCCAAAGAATTATGATGGTTAGTTCACTAACAGCTGTGCCGAAAAAATAAAATCAATCAAAGGCGAGCAAACCAGAAAATTTGTAATATTTACATTACAAACCGCTGTGTCGAAGGAATAATATCCGTCAGGGGCAGTGAGGGTTTTTCCTCCTTAGACAATTGAGATGAGTAGATCGCTAACTGTTGTGCCTACGGGAGCTGACGGTGTAAAATCGATCAAGGATATATTAGGTTTCTTAACGATGATCCTTATAGAGACAAATATGTATGTAAAGTATGAAGTAAAAGGAAAGTTAATGTAAATGTTTATAGTACATGGAGTATATTCATTTTAGAAAAAGGTTATTGATGCATGCATTAACATATATCAAAATTGCTTATAAGTATATATATCAGATTGCTTATAAAATATGAAAGGTCGGTATTCTATGTATATATATATATATATATATATATAAGATTGCTTATAAAATATGAAAAACTAGCATATTATATGATTTTTATAAACTCAAAGCATACATATTGAATTTTTCTCCTTGGATTATTGTAGTTTAGAAGTGTGATTATTCTTGAGTTATCATTAGATAACTCATTATGGTGTGTTAATATTATTTTTATAATTTAAACATTTGAAATAGATGAGATGAATAGAAGAGAGACAAATGTATACACGAGGCGAGAACAACAAGAAAGGTACAATTTGTACTTATTAATTTTAATTATTTTTTAATGTCACTTTCATGTATTATTTTGAATATTAAATTATTAGTGATAAAGTTAAAATAGTAGAGAATTGATTTCCACCATCTGATCGACTTTCCATCTTGCTTAACTCCAAGTCCTGGACCGAGCCGTGACAATCAGTAAATTTACATCGAAGCATGGCAATTTCACTTAATAGGTCTAAGGTGTACTTTACTTGGGATATGACAATTTCTTCTTAAATTGAACCACCTCCATTCCCAAAAAAGATCAAAAATTTTTGAAATTCTTGATCTCAAAATTTGTTGCAAGTATCATTTTTAGTCTAATAATTTCTTTTGAATCATCATCTGCAAAGGTAATATCATCGACATATACTATGAGAATAGTAATTTTGCTTCTAGAAAAAGATTTAATAAATTGTGTATGATCATCATGAAACTAATGATATCCATTTGTAACCACTGTTTTAGCAAACCTATCAAACCAAGTATGAGAAGAATGCTTCAAGCCATAAATGGACTTTTTTAACTTACAATTCAACCTATTTTCCAGCCCAGAGGAATAGTCATGTAGATTTCTTCATAAAGATAGTCATTCAATAAGGCATTTTTGACATCAAGTTGGTATCAAGCCCATCTTAATTTAATACAAGAGAATAAAACTCAAACCATATTAAGTTTGGCAATATGTGCAAATGTTTCTTGGTAGTCAATCTCGTATGCTTGAGTGAATATCTGCTTCTGGCCAATAGAATTTTTTCTATGAGGTAATTTTATAAATGTACATGTGTTATTCTTTTCTAGAGCCCAAATTCCTTCCTCAACTGCTTGTTTCCATGTTAGAATCTTTAAAACCTCTTGGATAGAGTTGAGAACATGCTCTCTATCAAGATTTGTCACAAATGCTCTGTAAGATGGTAGCAACTACTCATAGGTTGCATATCTTTCAATTGAATATACCCTCAGATACATTTTCTATGTGGAAATGGTTGATTAAAGTCATCAAGCATCAGTGTATGAATCATGAGTTGAGAAATCCATCTCATTACGATTATCATGAGGACTTGGTTCTGGCTCTTAACAATCCCTAGTTAGCATGGTGTCATCTGCATGCTCAATGGTCCTTAACCTTTTGGTGTAGACATGAAATTCCTAATCGGTCAAGTTGAGGTGCAGTAGAGGCAATGAGGACTATTTCTGTGACAGTTTGGTTCTTTAAATGAAACTTGTTGAGGTGAAGTAGAGCCAAATGGAGTCGGTTAAGGGACATGAATTGGATCAATTAAAGGAATATTGGTCTGAGTATCATGGAAAAAATCACAAATCTAATATTCCCTCAAAATCTCCTCCTAAATTTTATATTTAAGAAAATAAGGTTGATTTTCAAAGAAAGTGATATCTATGGAGTTGAATATTTTTCTAGTGGTTAGAGAATAGCATTTTCACCCTTTTTTATTAGACGTATAACCAAGGAAATTACAACTGGGAGAATTGGGATTATGTTTGGTGCGGTGTTGTTGATAGAAGGAATAAAAGAAGAAAAACCAAAAAACTTAAATGAGAAGTCAGAAGAAAAAGAGCAGATATGTGGACAGGATTCCATGAGAACATTATGAGGAATTTGAAAAGTTAGGACTCAACCAGGCATCCTATTGATAAGGAATGTGGTTGTTAGTTATTTTGTTAATTTAATTAAATCTTAATAAGTTATATCGTGCGATCAAACTAAACTATTGGGTAAGATCGGGATCAACAATAGTACATTAAAGAAAGGAAAAAAGTGAGGTAAGTTTAAAGTAAAATTTAAATTTGAGATTTTACCTATTCAATTGAAAAGTATTAAATCTTGTTTTAAGAATTAATGTCAAAACTTAAAGATTTAAATTTGAGGTGATTTATACAATGGAAGAAGTGAACAAGGAAGACGTAAATAAGAAAATTATTTGAGATGTGTCATTAGGTTACAAAGGGTATAATATATTGTAGGAAAAAGTTAATAAGAGTTTCAATTTATGATCTAAAGTGCCTTTAGGTTTTAGACATTAAGCATGTAATAGAAAATTAATATGAAAAAGATTAGATTATTTGATATAATGTTATGATTCACAATTACAGGATTTAAATAAAAATAAAAGCTAAAGGTTCAAAGTGATTAGAATCAAGTGAAATCAAAGTAATTACTATTTTATTTGCATTGAATTCAGTCTTTTTTAGTTTATAAATGCTTCATCTATTTATAGTCATTAAAGATATTTTTATAATTAAAAGAAAATAATTGAAAAATGAACTAATTAAGTCTATCAGGAAGCCACCCCTAGCAAGGAATACTATAATACCCATATATGTTAAAAGATAATGAAAAAGGTTTTACCTTTATTATACAGAATGAAAAAAATTAAAATGATTGTGCCTTTATGATATAAATTGAAAAAATGTTTTGACAGTGCTTCTGAGATGACTTATAAAAGTAAAAAAATGAAAGAAAAAATAAATGAAAATGAAAATATAATTGATAAGATAATAAAATTTTATTTTATAAAAATGAAAAAGGCAAGGTTTATTTTATTATCAACATATTTCTTTCATCATTCATGTTAGGCATGTACATAAAACTTTAACGCATAATAAAGTAGTGTCAGGTATTCGATGTAGTGTAAGTCTTGGTAATAATTTCCATGATAAAATTCTTTTACCTTCAATGATCCAATATCTTCTTTGATGAGTTTATCATTGTGCTTTTTTCATCAATATATTTCATGATTAGTTTTGCATGTGTGATTGGAATTTGATCTATTCAACAAAAATTCAATTCTTTTTTTAAAGAGACTAAACTTTGCCAAAATTAATGGTGGTGATCATGAATTTTGCACTCTGGTGCGCTTATTTTGTATACACATTCTAGGTTTGCACAAGTAACCTTTCATCCTAAGACAACCTAAATCAGCAAGCATCACTCCTCGCATATTAGATTACTGCAGATAGCAAAAGAGAAAATATAAAATAAACAAACGTAGCGGTGAATCATTGGTTCAATTGAAGGCACAAGCTTGAAAAAAAGGAACGGTAAATAGCACATAATTTTGATCAGCATGGTGGTTATGGATGGGCATATTGTTTCCATAAAAAAAAATTGTTCATTAATTTTTACAGTAGTTTTCAAGTTATATCCCCATAATATGGCAAAGAAGTCGAACAAATAGAGAACTACAAAAATCAATTTACTATATTAAAGAAAGAAATAATGAGCTCTACAGCTTGAAAACCATGAAGGCGATATGCCAGTCAAATTTGAATAGATAAAGTTGATGTCATTCTCTCACCTCATCAGCCTTCTTACGAGATTCTTCAACAGCTTTTGATAACCCTTGCACACGTTCTTCATACATATCCACTCTTAGACACTTGACATCTTCAGACACAAAACCATTACTAGATTTTGTAACAACATTCTGCGTTTTTGTGTATCCTGCCATAGCAGCATCCTTTATATGTGCTTGAAGAATAAAACAAATTTCTTCCCCCTGTAAGGTTTTATTAGTTCTTGTTTAGTTTAGTTCAAAATTTTGAAGGTATAAATAAACATTTGCCAAGCTAAGGAAATTACTCCACATAACCAAAAGCTAGACCTGCGAAGTTTCAAATTGGAAAACATGAAGCACTCCAGAAGCCTTCATCTTAAAGAAAACTGCAGTGTTACTGCTACCAAATTGCGCAACATCTTTAAGTTCTACAGAGTGCAAGTACTCTTTTGGAAATGGATGGAAAAAATGAACCTACAATACAAGCGCAATGCATTATCATATCTAGAAGCTTTTCATGAGAAAAGTCGTATACCATAAAAGTACTAGATAAATGGCACTAACCCCACGCATATTTATACCCAAAATTATCATACCAGGTAGAGAACCGGTGGGGTCATCTACCTTCCGCATACAAAAAAATGTGGAGTTTCCATAAGGAAGTCTCTGAAGAATCTCAAGGAAATGCCTTTTAGCATCATCCTTTGACAAGCCCTCCTGCATAGAAAAGAAAATATATAAGAGAAAGATTAACACAAATAGAATTAGACTTTACAAGCCTATTATTCATGCATGAATGTATGTGATACGAATACTGATAATTCCACAAAAAGCCTTAACTTCAGCGTGCTAAGTTAGCTTGCTTAGCTACTTATTCCAACAGGCCCGGCAAACTAAAACTTAACATTAGCATTAGTATGCAAGAAAAATACAAGGTGGCACGGTAGTGGAGCGTATCCCACCCAAGCAGGATCGGGATACAAGAAGAGAGTGGGGTGCCTCTCCACGTGGGAAGGAACTGGGATGGAATATACAGTCCTGTGAAAGCCTGTTGGGGAAAATCTCCGGCTTACTGAGTAAAACCAGTCCTTGTGGACCCTATTCATTATATATATTTTGATTTATAATCAAAGTATAATTTATGTCTTAGTATTAGTATGTTGTTCAAAAACTGGTTCAGACATTTTTATTTTGATTAATGTTATTTGGAGATAATTTTCTCTATTTTGTCGTATTGGGAATGATGTAGCCCCTTTTTTTTTTCAAATGGTGAGTTTGTAACTTGAAGAGAGATGAGGTGGCTAGTCGAACCATCCATCTTGTGTACATCGCTGCCCTTGCCATTGGCCGCATCCCTTCTTGCAGTTTTTCATCAAGGACAACAGCCATCATTAGTTTGCCCCTTCTAATCTTAACTGACTTCACATTTTCTCTCCCTTTTGTCATTCCACAACATCTTCCGGTTAGATTCGAACCTAAAATATCTTCTAGGAATCTTAAGACAATGTCTCAAAGCCAAGCAAGGATTCTAAGCAATATAAGGAAACCATCCACCTTAGAACAAATGCAAAAAACAGTGAGCACAATTCATAGATATTACTAACTTGTAGAATTACTGCATTGCTATAATTTGGCATAGATAGAGTATAAACTGTTAAAAATGAAATACAATTTTATTGAAGAAAATTAGTATTACAAGCCAATATTGTTTGAAGTTCAAGTCATACCTATTATGCTAGAACTAAGATAGACGAAAGAATAGAATATAGATTAGGAAATAACTTCTAAAATTAAAGTGGGAAACATTTACAGAAAGAAAATACTATAGCAACTTAAACTCGATTTTACAAGACAAATAAAATCATATATAACATTTGGAATTATTTGTTAAGAGAGTAAAATGAATTGGAAGATAAGTTGATTATATACAAAATAAATAAATAAATACAGCGAATAGTGTGTGATGTGCAATAAAATTTATGAACAGAGAGTAATAAATTATTAAATTGGAAACAGTGTAATTAGCATCTGTTGAAAAAATAGTAAAAATATAGAGTAATAGTTTCGTAAATACAATGAACATTTAGAAGATGCACCAATTAAGCAATTAGATAGAATTAATATGGAATGGCCTGAAAAGATCAAAAGAGAGAACAGTTGTCTCCTCTGCATGAACATTTTCCTTACTCTAGATTGACTATGTTTTCTATAAATATTTTTCATTCTATAAATCGTTTTCTAAACCATGATTAAACTTTAAATTATTCAAATTAAAATTAATGTCACTCATCAGCACTTCTTCATTAGTACGAGCTCGTAAGATGTTCATCTACTCAAACTAGTCCAAACATGCCCACTTGTTCTTTACACTTTCTACTTATCGTTCACCGTCTTTAGCTCAAATCACGCACCTGTTTTAATCACCGCCACCTGCTCATTTGCCAAGATTGCTCAACTCAAGCAATCGTTGTTCACTCAGCAGTACAAGTTTATTTGTAGTTCATTGTTGCTTGTTTGTTCATCTTCCTCGTTGCTCGAATGCACCTATTTTGATCCATCTCCTACTTTATAGCTCAATCTTGCTTGGTATGGCATCCTTGCTCACAATGGATATAAAATCCTTGCATAACCAACATTTGCAGCTTCGAATGCACTCGAGATCATGGGTATAGGTAATCTCTTAATCTACAATCAACTTTCTCTTTATTTCTCTCTCCCATTCGCTCTCATCTCCTCTCATTATAGTGAAATAACCCCCTCTGCTCCAATTAACTTCGAATTCACCTACTCCCTTCCATCTCCCTATTCAATTGTGTTACCGATGCTAATCGATTATAATAATGGTGTTACAATGCATCCAATAGAATTATTGGGATGTTAAGATGGGTATAAAAAAGTGCACAAATGGCATTGCCATATGACACTATCATTGTCATCATATACAACACCTTTTATATGCATTTGTGTGCAAAGCTGGTTGTGGGCTTTGAGAATTTTGACGCTCCCAATATCTATTATTTGTTGTTGATATTTTGTTGAGAAAGCTAATGCAAATAAAATAGTGATAAGACACTAACAAAAGATTTTGTTCTCATTTTTCTAAGGACTTTCTGATCAAGGATTAGAGGTTTCTTATAGGCGCAAGCCCCAAGAGTTAAGTACCCCTACAAATAACAAGACAACACTTTCATTTAAGACCAATCATTTAACGCTCAATAATAGCATATAGTAGCATCAAAATATATTTTCAATTATAAAATTTATCACTTTGATACTTAAAGCAGATCGTGGTAGAAATGATGAAGAACCCGATCAAGATCACATGGTTCGTCATCCTAGGACATAGTGGTCCATGATCAACTTAGTCAGAGGAGGTGGTTGACCAAATTTGACTAAATCTTTGTCAGCAATCATAGATTGCATCATCCAAGGGACCCCTATAGATGTTTGTCTAAAGAGGCAAATTTAGGTCGACCTTAGCAAACAGAAATGCTTGTGCCAATCAAGTGTACCCTTATTATTCATAACTCAAAAAGCAAAAAGTAGTTTAGGGACATACGCGCTATGATTGTGACTATATATAATGGTTTCATTTGACAGTAACCACCCAGTCAGAGTGCTCGGGTTGTAACAACTATTTTATAGTGTCATTTGGCATCAAAACCACATGGACAATGAATTGGAGCAACTTCTTTACTAGCATGCAATTGCATTAATTGTAAATATATTGATACTTTTGACATTCACTCTTTGTAAGCTGAAGCTGATAAAAAATTTGACAATCTCGAAAAACTATCGTAGAGGGTGGATGAGATTTACTTTAAGTTTTATATGATTATCTTTACTTGAGTATTTAATTTGTTTGAAAAATTAAATTTGAACAATCTTTATTTAAAAGGTGACTCCTCCGATTGAGATTAGGGTATGGATATTTGAAAACATTTGTGCTTGAAATAGATTGAGATTTTCGGTCAACGCGGCCATCAAAGGGTATGGATATTTGAAAACATTTGTGCTTGAAATCTAATTGAAATTTATTAGTGTTCTCTTACTGTTAAGTGAGTGATGTATTTGAACTTTCTGCTATGTTTAGAAATGAATTGATATCTGTGAAGTTTCAAAAATGTGGCTATTACAGTGTTCTCTTAAACAGTTTTACCAAACAGGGGCAGCAAAGTCATTTTTCCACAAACAGCTGCCCAATAGCTAGTTTCACGCAGCTGCACCAAACAGACAGGCAACTTCCCCGCAGCAGCTTATTGGGGCAGTGCAGCTGCAGCTGAAAAACTGAGAAGCTGCAGCTGCCCCAAACAGACCCGTAATCTTGTTTCCTTCCTTAAGCATTCAAAACTTTGGTTGGTTTGTTTGGTTCTTTGCTTGGCTTCAAAACCTCTTATTCTGATAGTTTGTATAAAAATCTTAAGAGCATGATAGTTTTGTGCTAAAGAAAAAAGAAAAAAAAAGAAAGAAAAAAAGAAAGGGAATAAATATTTGTGCTGATATTTCATTGGTTTTGTTTAGGACGGCATATATTGTTGACTTGCATGGAATTTTTTTTTTTTTAAGGTTTTTCTTCCCCTCCTTCCCCTTCGGTTGATCCATGGAGTACTCTTTTAACAAATGGTTTTTGTTCTTCTCTACTTGTTGTGCTTGATTTAATAACAAGGGATTCATGTTCTCTAGCATGTGTCTAATTAATATGGGCTAAGAATGGATCCTTCTTTGTTAGCTAGTATATTTGTGAAATGTGCTCATCTTGATATATGTCTTTAATCAGAAAAAGCTAAGCTCATTTCCCCATGATTAAATTGAGGCTGATTTGGATTCTGGTTTTCATCTCTACGATGAATTAGTTTGGTCGATATGTGCATATCTTGTGGGCTCAATCGTTAAACTATTTGTGGTGTTCCTTTTCTTTTCTTTTCTTTTCTTTCTTTTGGAAATAAGATAAAATCTGAGCATGGGATCCAGGTTTGTGTGTTTATGTGAACCTGGTTTCTTTTGCCTCAGTTAACCATAGTTTGGATGGTTTACTGGTTCGATTGAGGTTGAAGTTGATCCCTTCGCGATACCTTTGGGTTTGATGTCTTTGCTTAGCAGTTTTTCTTTTGTGGACTGATCTTTGTGAAGCTAACTCAAGTCACATGGTTTCAAATTTGATGCATTGTTGAGGATTTTAACGAAGAGACTAATCATACTTATCATTCAATCCTTATATATTTCCCATCAAGCAAGTAAACATCATCTTCCTTACCTGGTCATCACTATGCTTGTGTATGGGAGAGTTATAGAAATTGGAAGTTCTTCATGTTTAGTCAAATAAAAGAAAAGCGCTTTGATCATTTGGGATGCTTAAGGAAATTCAAGACGTACGGTTTTCTTTTCTTGTGGAGATTATCACTTAATTCTTCACAAAAAAAAACAAGGAGATTTACAATGTTGTATACTAAAAGGAAATAAATGAACCATAAATTTACTTGGGCTCAATAACGAGGTGATACCACTCTCACTCAATGCTCTTTATCTCCATTTGAAGTTCTGTTATTGAAGGCGCTTTTATTGGATAATATGGATGAATGCATTTGTTACTTTATTTCACCATTCGGATGGGGAGAAAGCCATACACTTGTTATACAATCTCCGTACATTTATATGCTAGACATAAAATATTCCCATGTATTTGCTCATTTGCCGTTTAAGTTCTCTTTTTGGAATTATGATAGAGTTGCTATTGCCTCATGGTTTAAATTAAAACGGGAACATCATAGCAATAAGTGAGAACATTGGATATTGGTATTCTAAATAGTTGTTCTTTGGTTTGATTACATGTATATGCAATCTACGAAGGAAGATTCAAGCGCTATTTGTTCTAATTTGCTCAAGCCATAGAGAAGATTTATTTCCCTCACTTTCTGTCATCCAGAATAGAAAACTTTGGTTCAATCGGAGGGATAAATGTAGTTTTGGCACAAGCCCACAATATATTGTCATGATTGCTTGCAATAATAATGCTTCTAAAAAGGGGAAAATTTTGTGAACGATGGGTAATTTTGTCAATATCTTTGCCAATTTTTCTCAGCTCTTATATACTCACATATGCAGCATGCAATTCTAAAATATGCTCTCCCCCTTGTTAGCTTACTCGGCATCCCAATTGTTGGGCTGGATTGCCTGATTTTCTTGCTAGTTTACATATTATCTTGGGCTGATCTCTTGGCTGTTTTGGAGCATTTTTAGGCACTTGTTTAGGGCTGATTTCTTGGCTGTTTTGGAGCATTTTTGAGCACTTGTTCACCTGTTTTAGGCTGTTTTTTTGGCTAACATATATTTGTTAAATGCTTCTATGAGAATATTAGAGTGGTTATGGTCATCAATGTGAATGCAATATGAATCATCTTATCTTCTTATATGAGCAAGCTAGGGTAAGAACTCATGGAATCCTAAAGCTAAGTATTCATTGTATGGACTTCTACAGGCAGCAAGCCCAAAGAATAATAAAATGTTGAAAAGCAAAGTTCTATCAACAATTTTAATAGTATTCATTTTACGGAATCCAAGCAATACAAATAATAAGTTGGCTATTCTCGTGTGTCACAAACCACAATCTGAATATGGATGGACTGAAATGATGACGAGCGAATTGGAAAGATATTTCTAAGAAGAATAGCTATTTTTTTAATGTACACAGCTGAAACAGCCAACAAATGTCCAATGAAAACAAGAGCATTAAGGGGTTTATCAAGTTATTCTAAATTTACTTAGTCATCCAAACAAATTTAAATCTTGTGCTGTTCTATCCTTCTAAATTACCTCAACAATAAAGATTTGTGTCAAACTTAGCATGAATGGACAGGGATTTCTTACTATCCTAACAAGTACAAACCTAAGATAGCACTCAAAAGAAGAAATAGAGGAAGAGGATTCAATAAATCAATTTCAAATAGTTAGGGAAGGGACAATGATAATAATGATGAATTGATAACCATAAGAAATTTGATATGGACCCAAAAGTTGAGTCGAAGACAATTCCAACATGCATTATTTTTTTTCTTAAAATGTAATGAAGTTTTGTGAATAATAACTAAAAAAATGTTAATAAAAAAATAAAATCAACCAAATAAATGAAAACAATAGACTCATTAAATTTCTGTTATCAGTATACATGGAATTAACTTAAATAGTCAAGCCTTCTTTGCTCTTACCAGCAAATTATATTGGGAGAGAACATCAAGCTCCCATTTCCTCTTCGCCCTTCTCATTGCAATTTGTCTTGGTAAAAACCTTTCCAGCAGAGATGTCCACAATCTTCAAATAATCAATGCTTTAGAGAAAGAAATTGCATTGTTGAAAAAAATAAAAAACCAGAAAAGTTGAAACGCTCCATGACTACTATCAAATAGAAAATTTAAGTGGCCACTCACACACATGACTCGGGATTGTACTCAAACCCAATCTCAGCTAAAATCTGCAAAGCAGTTAGCTGAGCAGCATAATTCCTCTTAGATGGATAATTTCCCAGCAAATAGTCATGTTGTACCTGCAGAAATATTTAAAAGAAAACAACATAATATCAGAAAATTGAAACAATAAAATGAGATTTTTGAAAAAAATATATAGACGGGGACATTACAGAGAACCTAAGAAACATACTTGAATGTATGACAAATGCAAAAATTTTGGATCGGAGACATCCTTATCTGAATCCTTGAATATCCTTCGTTTAAATACAAGTTTAACAGACAAAATTTCTCCTTTACTGTGCTCTTTTGCTGAATTATTTTCTGCCAATAAATCGCCAACATATTTGTTGTCATCTAACCTTATAAATTCCTCTGTGTATCATGGCAAACCTTGGTAAGAGCAGTTGATAGAAAAAAAACATAATTTAGACAATAAAACAGCAAAATCAAGTAGATTCAATTTAGTGATGAGGGTTGGAGATACGCAGAAGTAGCAGTTCTGAGATAATACCATTAAAATAGTCTATAGAATCAATCTCAACATTTTTGCATTCATACAGACTGAAACTGGAGAAGGTTGAAAGGTTGATTAACCTTGCAAGTTCCTGAAGAAAAGCTTCTATAAGTAACATATCCATAGACGAAAATAAGGAAATGCATAGAACAACATTAAGAACACCAAATTGTGAAATGCTTAATCATCAAAATAAAACATGACAAAAGCTTCATGAACAACAAAATCCGCCAAAAGAAAAACAAAGGAGTAGCTACGGGTTTGGTAGTACCCATTATTACTAATCTTGGCAGGGCCAATTTCTAAAACCACTACTGGTTATTACAATTACGTTGGTATGCTATATTGTAGAACCAATTGATGATTTTAATGTAGAAACATAAAATAAATGCATAATCTTACAATGCAGAAAAAATATTAAGGCATAAAATCAAACAGAATATAATTCCAGTCAACCTTAAAATGAAGCAAACCATGCTATATTTCAATATAAAGAAGGAAGTCCAATGATTTTTATAAAAAAAAATGGTTAAACATGCATTTCATTTGTGAACCTCTTAAAAACATTGAAGAAAACTTTAAACAAGTAGTAAACTCCTCCAAATACTAAGATTGAAATTTCCAAACATTTATGTATCAAATTTGCAAAAGATAAAATACAGATCAACTGTGCGCTTTTTTTATATATATACAAAGTTAAAATTATGTAATTGGGTATTGTGGTTATTTTTGTCCATACATGAGCTGTTTGCATCTAAGCATCAAATCATAAAGTCAGAAGCAACATATTAAAGTAAAAAAGCAACATGTTAACATTTTAATATATTAACAAAATAAAAAATAACATGAAAAAATCCTAACAAAGTAAGAAATAATAAATTACACAAAGTAATAAGAAACGTGTTAACATCTAGGCATCGAATCATAAAGTAAGAAAGGTTATACATGCATAAAACAATCAACATAAGCTATAATATCAAAGTAAAATGCTAAAACATAACAACACAACAACAAAATAAGTTCAACAAAGGTCTCTCTCCTCCTCATATGATCTCATGCTTAAGTGTAACAACAAGAAAATAATAATAGTAATAATAATTACATAATTAAATGTGCACGAGATTCCACTGGATCAACATTAATGAAGAGACGGAGAATTGTTTCGAACAAAAGAAATTGCTCAAATGAGAATAACCTTGAACGAGCATGAGCGAGACAAGAAAATGGTGAGTGAGATCGGCGAGTACAAGGGAAATGAAGCCAGATGATCATAATTTACTGGAGGGAGCAGTTGGTGTTGGAGACGGGAACAGGAGACAATGCCTCATGCAAGTAGGCGAAAGATGAGAGATCACCGCCTATTGTAAGTTTCCTTGAAATGAGGAAGTCAAGAGGCATCAATGTGTTAATGCAAATGCAGTTGAGGTGAAATGTGTGTTGTACTTGTGTGTAGAAGACGTAGTCACATGCGAAGAATGTGAAGTTATGAATCACGCGAGCATCTGCGAGAAGAGGCGATCAGAGCTTAAACCTATAAGGTGTGTTTAGAGTTTATTTATTTAATTTAATAAATATGCAAATTTTGTTTTAAATTTTGTGATCGTTAGTGTTGAATTTTAATCAATAAGGTCAGAAATTGGTTGATTTCAAAATATATGATGTGAATGAAAATTTCTTAGATAAAGAAACATAAAATGACTAATTAAGGAAAATTTTTTTAGTAATTCTTCTATTCTGTATAAATATCTAGACTTAAGTAAATATTTATTCAAGAACATTGATTGGAGTAAAATAACAGTGATAGAAGTGATCGAAGGAGAGGTCAAAGGAGGTACCAAAGGATTAACTAACGAACAAGGTGCGTGAGATATGCAATTTACTAAAAATTACTAAACTTTAATGAGATTAAATTTAAACAAAAAATTTTGTTATATAATTAACTTAGAGATTAAATGTGAAATTTAACGAATTAACTATTTTCTATCATTTAGGAATGTAATCAAATATCATCTTGAAAACATTATGATTAAAAAAATAATTTACATGATTAGGCGTCGAGCTAGAGAAAATGAGAGATATAAATTAATCAACAAAATCACTATTCAAAAGTTAAGATGTAATTATAACTTTGCTCATACTAGTCATAGTTCTTGTATGTATAAAGGCACTGTTAAATTTTAAAAGAATCATAATTGAATTATTTAAATCTTTACAGAGACGGGTAATCTTATTAAATGTAAAAATTCAATACAATCATATACAGTGCCACATTTTTTTTTCATTGTTCATGCATTACATTCACTGAAAAAAATTGATGTATAATCAAATTAATTCAAAGAAAATAAATAAAAATCAAAAGAAAAAAAGATTCAAGTCAATTAAGAGTTTCGCTTTATAGTACTAGTTGGGAACACAATTGTGCTCATACATGAAAGTGAAAATTGACATAGTTTGAAAGTTGAAATGGAAAAGGAAATGGCTGTGCCTTACTTGATACAAGGTTTAACCGGAGCTTCTAAGATGACTTCTTCAATGAAAATATAATTAAAGTATAAAATATATATAAAAAATGATCATTATTTAAAAGTTCTGATAAAAAAAATTTTAATTGTTTTACCATTTGGACTTCATAAATGTATAGTATTCATAACTTGAACTGAAAATTAGTACATTGTTGAACTAGTAGAACTGAAAATATTTGCTGAGTTATTTTTAAACTTACATTGTTGAACTATTTCTTCCAGAAAAGCTCCATTTAATTAAACTAACTGACATAAGAGAATATATCAATAGAAGAAGCGAATCAAACGAGAAAATGTATCTAGTAATATTTTATGTTTAATTTCTTTTCTTTCTTAGCACTATTTTTCTCTGGATGTTCGTATATGCTTTGTTTGGATGTAGTTTCACATATTATGCGATTTAGTGGGACTTTATTGTTTAGGATTATTCTTTATTATGGATTATTGTGCGTGTTAGAATGATATGACATTAAAATTCGACTATTTGTTCCCGTTTTGGAATTTTCAAGCTTCCAAGTCGGGCATGACATTAAATAAGATTATAGCATGCCATCAACATTCAAAAATCTTCATTATTCAATGGATTTTCAATATAATCATCAGCAAAAAGATATAATTTCTCACCTACCTCATCCATAATTATATCCATATTCTCTTAATCATTGTCATATTCAATCTCAGTCATCATCCTCTTTACTAATCAATAACAAAAACTATGAGGTGGTTAGATTTTAAATTACATAAACTTTTATAGACACATTTTCTATTTATTTTTTATTGATTTGTGTTGAACCTATTGATCTTGCTAACATCCCAATCAAAAGAATTAACATTAAGTAATCCTTTTGCCAGTAGAATCGTGTTGCATTGTTATCTTTATCCACAAACTATTGATTATATGACCGCATGACATTACAAAGTGAGGGGAACTTCATCATCTCTTAAAGCATTTTTCTTCCATTTTTTATTCTTAGTCTCTTTATTTGCAAAATAAAACAACGGTAATCAAACGGTTTCTCCTTTCTGTATAAATTTGAGTGTATATAATTCAATTTTGCTCACAGCCTGATGATGAACATATAAGTCTCAATATTTTAACTGCAAATTGTTGTAATTTTAGAGTGTTGTCTCTAAATTAAATCCACCATTCAACCAGATTTGGAGAAAAAAACAATTAAAATTGGGAGAATCCTTCCTTCAATCAATAAATATTAAAAATCGCTTAGAGAATATTCTATAACAATATCATTAGCTTGTTGTATTCAAAAACACTTACTCAACCTTGACCTATGCATCCCCCATAAGCTCAATAGGAGTGGTCTTGATTCCCCTATTGTCTAAAGAGACAAGTAAGCATCTGTACGCATGTGTACATGTGTCCCCAGCAGGTACCATAAAGAGGTGAACTTCTTCCATTAACATGAACATACAAATATTCAGATATATATTATTTTCATTACATTCTTCATAACATGGATTATTTCTCATGAGATATATATGTTTATAAACTAAATATCTTTTTATACACATCTAAAAATTCATGCTGCAATCATCCAATTTCTTGCTTGAAATATTGCATTTGCATTGCTAAAATAAAATAGTAAGAATGACATTAGGCATTGGCATGTGATCTATCACGAGCAAAAAAAGGAAAAAGAACATGAGATTCTTATAGTGTTAGATCAAAAGTTTTCCTTTGAGAGCTATGATTGTGTGGCAATGTGCAATCTAATATCTTCCTAGGAGAAACTACAGTGCAACTAAACATGCAGTAAATTAGACATACATATTTCATTCTTATTAATATGCGAATTAATTGTAGTACAAATATATTCAGAAATAAGAAACAGCACCATAATTAAAAAATATAATTACCCACTTTAAGTCTTGAATTCTAAATAAGGTCACTACTTTCAATTATTATTATGACTTCAATGAAACCTTAAGAAAGTAACATCATAAACAAATTTAAATTTTATGCAGAATTTGAAATTTGAATTAATTTGAATACTTAAATTGTATCCATTCCTCATTAATACCTAATTACTATTTAATTCACTTGTATGAAAATTTGATCCATTAGAATCTTTCAACTCCTATTTTCCTAGGCAAAGTTAAGTTAGTTTATTAATATCAAATAGTTTATAGAAGCAGTGCAGTGGGCGACGCTGATTGAAAAGAAAAATAAATCTAAAGTGGTACATCCCATCTCAATAATGAGGCGTTATAATGCAGGCCATAGTTTCTCAGTAGAAAACGATTCCACTCTCGCCACCGCTATTACAACTTTGAATCACTTCTGTCACGCTTTGTGGTGGCAACCGGTGTTCGTGGACTTTGATTCTAGACACTAAAGGACAACACAAAAGGCATTCAAAGGGAACCCTTCTCTCCAGCTGCACCTGGCAATCGATGTTGCCGACTTCAGTGAGCTCACCCACACCGTTTGATGGCTTTGTGGGGCCGGAGGTCCGTTTCCTTCGAGGAGTTTGATGTTGACGACAAAGACAAAGGGATGGAATTATGACGTCAAAACAATTTTGGGAGCTGTGATGGGTGATAAGCGGGT